AAGGGAATTACAATAGAGTCGAAGTTGAACAATAAGATAAGAATAAAATTAAGCTGCAAGTCAAAAAAAATCTGAAAAATAAAAAAAATTCAAATAAACTTAGCTAGAGTTCCCCATTTTACAAATATCCAATCCAATGATTTTCTAGAGCGGCAGAAGAAAGTGTTGACAGTCGAGAAGAATTGTTTGCATGCACTTGGTGGTAACAACCTTTCGTTAAACTTTTGACCGGTCTAAGAAATAGGGGACCCTAAAAGAGAGCACAGACGGTCTACGGGAGGTGAATGGGGAGGTTAATCAACGATTGAATGAGGTTCCGATGCGGTCAATCAAAAGACGGTCTCGTTGACTTGGCAGATTGGTGCGAGGCTATAAAACAGCTGACTGAGTCGTCTTTGACATACCGCCTTTACTAGAGGGCACGTTGATCCTCAAGAACATCGTAATAGGATGATCCCATTACGGGACTATTTATGTTGACAGGGGATTAGGACTCCCAGATTCATTGGGAGAACAGAAAAAATGACTTCTTATCCCTGCAAATTCTGAGCATTTTCCAAGGTTCGCTTTGAAACGTTGAGCTTTTGATGTAAAGCTGAGAAGGATCCGCAAGTCCCTTTCGAACCCATCAATTCCAACTGCAAACTCTGCAACCCAGTTGCAATGAGTAAAGAACTGATTTCTTTAAATCAGGTTCACCTTAGAAATACCATAGATTAGCTATCTTTTCGATTTCCGGAGGTTTGGGAGGAGAGAAAAAAAAACATTGTCTCCCCATTGATCCTTCCTCTATATCTCATCGTTTTTCGGCTAATTCTGAGTTCTGGCTGACCGAGTCCGATTCCTTTGAGTAAAGAAACTTTTGCGTGTTCCAGGTGGTCCCCTTTACGAACTTTACTATAGTTTCTGTATGGATGACATCAATTATTCGGATCTGAAGGATAACCTCAAAAAGGAGCGAATTTGGCTACTTTACTTTCATCGCAATCAGTGGGTCCTCTTTCCATGCCACTCCATTCATTCGAACTCCATTTCGACTAGAAATCCAGATGTCATTCTTGAAGAAATCGTGGGAGGCAATGCGAATCGTATGCTGTTCGATGAACCATCGTCGAACGACGCTATTTCAATATGTCTCGTTTCAGATGGAATAATGGAGAAGATCGTTGAGGATCTCGAGGTCATAAATCGTGGTATATGATGGCGGCAGACTGTTTAATGGATTGCACATGTCACCTCCGCAACAACCCCAAAGCCATCTTCTAGCCACGGATAGTGAATACAAATGAAGCCACGTAGCGGCGTTCGGTCAGGGTGATGAATGATGACACGGGAGCTCTGTCAGTCTTTGCTGTGCGGCTTCGATTTCTGATCCGAGCCGGAAGAACTGGAAGCATCCGGTTCTATGGTATCGAGGGGTTCTTAAAGTTACTGTACCTAGATATATTCAGAAATCATATGGACGAGGGATAACCTGAACGTACCTGGGACAAGAAGAGTAAACATATCGCTTTTGTGTCAAGCTTATGGCGTGGAAAAAGGGTACTGAAAGAGGAGGCCTCAGCTAAATCGCGAAAGATCGGGTCATAGTGGCCGCTCAAGAGGTAGGGTGGCAGTATTGGGTAGCGATTCCGTAAATCTTTGGATGTTCGTTGTACGGAGTAGTAATGCAGACTTCCTTTTGCTCAGACAGCACTACAAGCACTGAATAGCTGGATAGGTGTAGGAAGAAATCAGAAGAAGGAAGAGGCATCACAGGGGAACCACTCTGGACTTCACCATGTTTGAACTCAGGTACAGAAGTAGTCGGAAGAACCTTACTGTGATAGACAGAGGTTAACACAGAAATCCACCAACGGCTACTTTGCTTCAAACCCTATGGTAACCAAGCAGGAGACCGACACTCCCACTTAGGATGAAAACGCTGAATCCCGCAATTCGCTTAGTTTTCGATGTGAACTACTGGAATACCCTATGATTATGAAGAGGAATCACATGTAGGAAAACATTTCCAATGCACTGAGAGTAGAAAAATCTCTGGAGATCTCTCCACTATTCTTAGGATGCGCCATGTAGCCAACGCCATTTCAGTGACCTTTGCTGCATTTGAATTTGATCTCTAGGGTAGGCTAATGTTACCTGCACTTGAGTTAGTGGCTGCTCTATCCCATTGAACGATTCTTGAAGGGTTTCTCTTGGCTGGTATGTTAGTGAATCGGTTTGGATTTTATCTGCCTATTATACAAGTTACAAAGGATTCTGTGAATTCCGATCCACTTCCCGAATCTATGTACCGCATGTTTGCTTGGGAAGGCGGAACCCTACTGCCTTCCTACTTTGAATGCTCTTTCGTATGACTCACTTCCTTCTGAACGCATGCTTTCGGGTCGTTTGTGATGAGCTGCTTTACAAATGGGCTCGCAGATTTCGTCATGAACGGAATTCATCGCTGGGATTCTTCTGTTTGAAAGCCAAGAGTAAGAAGGAGCCGTTGAATAGAAACATCCGACAGATTGGCGCATGCATTTGCAGATACGAACCGACGATAAGTCACTGATGCGGAATTGGCTGTTGTGACAGAATTTGTCCCCTTGAGGACCACGTCATCAGCATCAGAGCTATGTATTCATGAACTGAGTACCATGGGAATAATCTTCACTGACATCATCCATTGCAATATTGGGAACGACGACGCCCAGTACTAGAAAGTAATATACGACTAGCTCTGTCATAAGAAATGGGCTGCTGCTGGGTTGGCAATGGGGGAGTGGGAGGGGTTCAGAAAGAAATTCTGCTTGCATACATGGTGTGTGACATAGAGTGGCCACTATTTCTCAACTGAATGGACCTTTCTACCCATATTTCTGAGTTATTAGGAAAAAAGATCCAGACTAAGGATGCTCCTTATGCTTACTTGGCAATGCTTTGAAATTTCCTTCAAATTTATGAAATATTTTGATCGTGGGGTCTGGTCTATACGATGATTTGCGGTGTCGGCCGGGGTACGAGTAAATGCTTTTACCCCTTTACGCTTAGTGCCTATCAACTATCCGAGCATGAGTACGGTAGCGTATTGACTCTTTTCTAATCACAAAGAAAGTTAGTTATTAGAGAACACTGATTTTCAGCTGGTGATATTAACGCAAGGTAATACCGTAAATACCAAATATCACAGTTGGGCAAACTCGGACTAATCTGTGGATACGAGTTAGTCAAAATGATGAGAGGAAACGGTAAGACGAGTTTTCATGGACGAGATGGTTCCAGAGATGTGCAAGTGTGAGGTTTTTCCTCGCTTTTTACAAGAACGTGGAAATATGACAGTCAGTTTTGGATGAGAGTTCCCATTGAGGACAAAATTCGTACCTCCTATCTATGTGCACCATGGTTTCCCATTGCACTACAAGTAGAGCCCCCACAAAAGTCTTTCATCTATTCTTTTTGGAATAACAAAAATAAATTATTTCCACCTT